AATGTATCTGTTTTGTCAACTATGGCTCGTTATTACATTTATGTATGTCATCCTCGGAATTCATTTCCTGTTTAGTAGATCCATCATTCTAACATTTTGGCAAACCCACTATTAAGATCAGCTGTTTTTTTTGTTTTTTTCCAGAAAACGTCATTATAACCAAATATGTTGGCTGGATTTAAAGATATTTAGAAATAAAAAGAAAATAAAATTTTACTTTTTGATATTTGCTTGTATATAATACAGAAAAACTCCTTTGTAACCTGTGCCATTGTTAAAATGAAATGAGTTGGAGTTCTAGCTAAATGGTAAAATGTAAGTATCTTTCATAAAAATCTTAGGAGTTAGACTACAAACAATGGTTAATACTCTTCCCCCTCTCTAGTATTATTAAGTGATTTTACTCTCTGTGTACTATAAACTTTACTGTCCAAAGAGGAATAACTACTAAACTACGGTCATATCTATCATCTATTTACTGTTTAATCTCATTCATCTCAACAAAAATGCAATAATGAAACATATTTCACAAGTATGTGTGACTTGCTCCCCCTTTTGAAGTTGATTTGTAGAGGGACCGAAGTTACTTAGTATTTTTAGAGAACAAAAGTTATCTGACAATCCTAAGGAATGATTTAAATATAAGTATTTGCTAAAACAAACGTTTCCTGTTTCTCTACATAGATCCCATTTTTATATTTTTCAATCAGAGTATCTCCAAGATAAAATATTTGAATATCTTTTTAATAGTGCTTTTATGCTCTGTGTTGGCTCATCACTTTCTAGCTATTTGGATTATAAACTTCGGGGAACTAAGCAGAGATTACTGAGAGATTGTGTGGCTTTTTCTATAATTATACCCTAAATATGCATTACTTTGTATATGTCACAGTTTTGGAATCAGAACCACAATGTAGGATCTGTGGGTGTTATGTGATCTTCTGATCAACGGTCCTTGGTTCATATTTCACACCCCCTTAGTGGAGCCAAGATGGGTTGTGTTTTATCTCCGTATGGGTCAGTTAACTTTTTTCAGCTAAATTGCACGATCACCAACTTTCACACCTGACCCTGATCATCCAGTGTGTGCCATTTGTCACAGGGCAAAGAAGTCAGTGTGGAGGTTTGTGTACCCTTTCCCTAGTCCTGGAAATACTCAGAAAACATGCTCTAATGATGGTAGAGTCCATCTTATCTTTTTTTTTTTAGTTTTTGTAGCTGAGCATTATTTTAATTTTTAAATGTATTTTATATTGGAGTATAGTTATTTTTAACAATATATTATTTAGAAACTAGTTATAGTACATCCCAGTTACAGAACCACCAAAATATTGCCAAATATTTTGTAAACTTTTAATGCTATGCTACAATAATTGGAAATCCAGAGATACATAGGCATATAGAAATTTTGAGGCAAAAATATCCTGAAGACTGAAGGGAAAGCAACAAACTCTGCTGTGTATACTTTGTAGAAGATTTAGAATTTCCACTCTTCATGTACTTTGTAGAAGGTTTAGAAGTTCCAGTCTTCCTTAGTATATGCCTTTGTGCTTAAGTAAAGTCATCATATTTTTCACCAACAATTCAAGGGTCTTCTCGGCTAGTAGAAATTAGATCTAATAGTCCCTGGTTACTAATAACTTAAAATCAGATAATACATCTTTTATACAGGGAGTCAACACAGAACAAATAGGCATTAAACTTTGCAGAGTTAAGTACTGTCATACATTTTTATATCAGATCACAGCTTTAATACAGTGTCTGGCTAAAGTAGAGACGTGTTGTTTGTCCATCCAACATATTTATTGAGCACCAGCCATATGCTGTGAATGCAGAGCTCAATAGGTTAATACAGTAACATAAAACAGCTCAAAGTTCTCTGGTAAAGAAAGATAAAGAAGTGCTAAAATTAGTATATGGAAAAGATATTATGGAAGTACAGAGGAATGGGTGACTAATTTATCCCTGGGATGAGTGGAAGGATGGAATGAAGAGGGGAAGTTAATCTCAGAGAGGTTTCACAGAGCACCAGAGTGGGGTAGAAGGTTTGACACCAGGTAGACCTGGTTTTAATTCTAGATTTTTCATTTAATATCTGTGAGGTCTTGGGGAAATCACTGAACCTTAGGCTCAGGTTTCTCGTCTGTAAAATATAGATAATATAAATTTTCACAAGTTGTTATGCGGGCTAAATGAATTCATGAAGAGCATATGTCTGGAGCATAGTCAGCTCTCAGTAAGTAGTAGTTAATGTTGACTGCTATTAAGAGAAAGTTGTCTAGGAATACTAAGATAGGGAGGAGACAATAACATATGCATAAATTTGACTGGAATGTGAACTGGTAGATGAAGCTAGGAAGATAGTCAGAGGCCAGATGGGGAAAACATGTAAACATTTGCATTTAGAGCTAAGGAGTTTGGATATTTTACTGGAGATGATAGAAGAAACATTGGAGAATTTTGATCAATGGGCTGCCAAGTGAGGAGGATGGATTGGGGACAGTATAAATTTAGAGTCAGAGAGACCAGTTAAGAGGAATCATTGTTATCATTGGTTCAAGTAAATATTTTACAAGGTGGACTGAGTCAATGGCAGTGGGATAGAGCAGACATTGAAAAAATATTTGAGATAGAAGAAAAAAGACTTGTCAACTGATGGAAGGATTTGAAAAATGGGAGTCTATTAAAATCATTGAGTTGAGGAAGGGATTTTCATTAATTTTTTAATAAGAGAGACATATGTATGTTTATATGCTAAGGGGAATGTTGAATGAATGAACGTATATGAAGGTTAAATTGTATATAGAAGCAGAGTAATACATTCATAGTGAGGAAGCTTCTTAATATAGTTGATGTGGTATATTTATCAAATGCATAAAACAAGAGCAAAGGACAAATTCATTCATTCAGAAAATATTTACTAAGCCTCATTATGTTCCAATTATTATGCTAGGTGCTGGAGGGAATAAATACATAAATAAATAATATACCACATGTTGATTGGTGTTATGAAGAAAAAGCAGGGTGAGGTTAGATAGTTATGGGATGGTGTTTTAGAATGGATGGTCATAGAAAGACTCTGAGGTGACAAAAAACTAGTGGATGGTGGAGGTCATTAATTATTCTGAAGAAGACTAGGTGAGGAGCTGGTTGGTTAGGGTTGAATCAAGAATTCAGTTTGAATGGGTTGTTTGAGATCCCTACCAGGTATCCAAACAGAATAGGCATTTGCATGTACAAGTCTTGATTTCAAGAAAGAGTTTATGGTTGGAGGTAAAATTTGAGAGTCCTCAGCATACAGATGGGATTTAAAGCCATGGAACAGGATGGGATATGGAAATGCCTAGAATGTTGGGGAAGGTAGAGGTCAAGGACTAAGCCCTGAAGTTCCAACTTTTAGAGATTAGGAAGGCGAAGGATGATCTGGCAAAGGACACTGAGAAGAAATGGCCAATGATGGAGGAGGAAAATGAACAATGTTTTGTTCTGGGGGCCAAGTGAAGAAAATGTTTAAAGAGTCATGAACTGCATCAAATGCTAATGAGTGGTCCAGCAAGTTGAAGTCAGTAACAGCATGTTTTTTGTTGTTGGGAAATGTCCAGTAGAGGGAGGAAAATAGACGTTGTGAAAGGGGCGGGCGGGGGATTGCAGAACAAAGCCTTTGAGTAGGCAAGAAAAGATGATATCCAAATCTCAGAAGCATTGGCCTAAGACCGTTGTCAGTTCAGCCAAAGGGGAGTTTATGTGCGTGTGCGCACACACTCACATATTTTCACTGTTTATAGCCCCATGCCCCCACTACTTTCAAAACTTTCATTTTCACAGAATCATATTCATAAAGCTCACTTTCTCCCTGGGATTTTAAGCAGAGTAGGTGGGAGTGACCTACTAGTGATCTTTGTTTGCGATTCAGGGACAATCTCTGTGGTCCGCTTTACTTTGCTAACGCTGGACACTAGATGGTGAAATAAATAGAGGGCACAGTTCAACGTTTTCCACGAGCACAGCACCACGGCCCTAGGTGTAGTAGGTGGGAGGGGGTGCTTTATGTCTACCATTAGAAACCTCTCCAAGATACTGAGCTGGCTTAGTCGCTGTTACAGTTGCTTTTTTAAGTTCTTTTAAGTGTCAAATATGGAATAACTTTTTAACTTTAAGTTCTGAAGTATTTCCATGAGCAGGATCTTGATCATCTCCCATGTATGAGGCTGTCCTTTATCTCAGTTAAATTGCTAGCGCCTAGTACAGCGTGTGGCTTAGAGTAGCAAAGCAGTAAATGTTTGATTTGGAGAAGAGAGAAAAATGATAATTACTGTCACTATAGGTCCAATATACCCAGAGCGGGGTGGAGGTGAGGTTAGCTTCATACATTCTGCCTTTACTGCCACAAGTAGAGTCCAATAAGTGGTGGTGTATGTGAATACTGGAAACATTGTGTGTCATCAATAATATGAAGACAACCAGCGTAAACACCAACACCGTGAGCGGAACAAGCGGGGGGCCGGGAGTTAGGGAGCGCAGGTGTATTGTTTTATTTTAAAAGGATTTTATTCCTGTCACCAGCTTCTAGGAGGATAATGTAAAATGGATTAAAACCCCCGCCCTAGTATTTGTCACTAAGTACCAAAACGGGCGTGGTTCGGCGTATAGGGCGCCTGCTTTTGCGAGCCCGGCAAGCAGATGTTACTGGAGTCCTCCCCTGACACTGACCCCTCCAACGCTCAGGAGGGTCCCCGGTTCCCCCAACCTTTTTGGGAATCCTCCCGCCCGCAAGACTGCTCGGTAGACTTGAGAGGGCCTGCTGAGCCTGTGTGAACAACGCCGCGCATGCTCCGTGGAGAGGGCAGATTTACCGAGGAGCTAGCAGAGGATTTTACTACTCCTCTCCCGCCTCCCCCGCCCAGCACGCCCCCCTCCCCTCTTTCCCACCCCCCACCACGCCGTCTCCCACACCCACCCACCCCCTCTTTCCCACCCCCCCTTCACCCCAGGCTGGGGAATCTCCATTGACGTTCGGGTGACGCTGCTGTGCCGCCGCGGTGGGGGGTTCCAGGCGCCGCACAGGTAAAGCCGCCGCTGCCGCCATATTGACAGAACTGGGAGCTGGGAGGGGGCCCGAGGAAGCGGGGTGGCCGCGGGGGGAGTCACTGCTGAGCGACTGTCGCGGAGGCTGCAGCGGCGGCAGTGGTGAGCACGAGCCAAGCGGCAGCTCTTGGAGAGGCAGCACAGAGTTGTCTTCTCTATGGGGAGTAGCAGCCTGCGGCGGCGGCGACCCCTCGCTCCGAGTCTCTGAGGGACCCCACGGCGAGGGCAGCTGTCGCAGAAGGCAAGGCTGGGGATCCCGGCGGCGGCAGTGGCAGGCAAGCTCCAAAGACGGGATGCGCGGCCGCGCGGGCGGTTGGCAGCTCCTGTTCGAGTGCTCCTGAAGGGGCGATGCTACCGTTCGCTCCTCAAGACGAGCTCTGGGACCGAGAAATGGAGCTGTTCGGCGGCAGCGCAAGCAGCTGCGAGGTTAGTGCGGTGGCCAAGAGGGGCTGGAGCTGCGACCCTCCTTCTCTCAGGACCATTGCCGGGGGCCCGAGAGAGAAGGGGCGTGGGGCTGGGAAGCGAAGTGCCCAGGCCAGCCTCCTTGAGGCTGCGGGGCGGCGGAGCACGCTCTGCCCAAACCGAGCTTTCGCCTGGGAGCCGGCGGGGACTGGGCGGCGGGCTCTGGAGTTGGGAGTGAGTGCAGCCCGGGCCCGGGCTCGGCCTCGGGCGGAGTGACTGCCTCGCGGGCCACGCCAGAGTTGTGACTAAGTTTCTTCACTTTGCGACCTGAAGTGGAACTGGGGGATGCGCCAGGTGCCGCGCCTGGCTCCGCGTGTCCCTCTTTCTACGCTGCGCCAAGTTTGCTAGTTGGGAACATTTTGGGGGACAGCTGCTGACTGCAGCTCTCTATTGAACCCCGGGCGCCTTAGGAACCCAGCGCAACAGAAACACAGCAGAGTGACAAACTCTGGGGAGATATGCACATAGGGATGAGTGATCCTTTTCTCATTTCTTTGTGGCTTATTGTGGTTCTTTGTAACAACCTAAGTGGAGATTAACTGGAGGCGAGGTTTCTTTATCTACATTCAGGTGATGTTCTGCAGCCTCCTTTGCGGTCCCCTGAATTCTACTGCCCTCTTCCTCCCGCCCCTTCTCCCTTGCCCAACTGTTGTCCCCGCCCCGTTGGTCAGTAAAAGAACACGCAAAGTAAGCCCCAGCCCTTATGAGACCAATCTTTGGTAAGACAGCGAGGTTCAACCGAAGTATTTTGGTTCGCCTCTCTTCCCGCTCTTCTTACTTTGAAACTGTTCTGGTTGGGCTTTGGTCAGCTGTACAGTGAGAACTTAGATGTGCACAGGTACTTTGTTTTTATTATTGCTGCTTTGTTGTTTGTTCTTGTTATTAAAGCAAGAGACATTTAAACACAAAAACGAGACTTTGTGGATAGAAAGTCAGATATTTTTCTGATAACCTAATCATTGACAGCCTAGTAGTACAGTAGAGACCATCACAATCACAGACCTAAAAATACTGAATGCCAAATTGATTCACAGTAGGATATTTTGAGGTAGGACTCGCAAGCCTCCACATCTCTAGGTGCAAATTTGTCTTGAAGTACTTGCTTCATCCTTAAAAATACACGTTGGACTGCTGTCTAACTTGTTCTTTTTTCTTTTCAAATTTCCAACTGAACTGGGGTTAAAGTTACATGCCAGAATAACATTTAACAAGAAATGTAGTGGAAACATGGAAGGAGTCTAAAGTTGAACCCTCTCTACTTATAGGAAATATTTTACTAGTACAATAAGGAATTCCTAAGTACATTTTAATATTCTACATCTCTTAAGAACAGGATAAATGAAGAGGGGTTTATTTCTTCTTGGAATGTTTCATAGTTGCAAGAATTTTCTAGAATACTATTCAAGGGGAGAGGAATTTTGTTTTATTTATGCATGTAATCTATTGACTTGTAGTTCCAGGCATCTGGTTTATAAAAACAGTTAAATGCTTGGATATAAGGTTGGGATGGGGGGGGTTTCGCATGCCTACTCATTATTTTTGTTAACTTTGAATGTAGAAATGTTTTAAATTGTAATTACTGCATATGGTTTTTTTTATTGTTTGCAGTATGTTTTAGGTATTATAGAGATTTAACAATGGGTCTCTCTACCTCAGCAATTTGGAAAAATACTGGAGTGGAAATTGTTAATCCCTATGAAGTAAAACGAAAGGTGAAGGTAATGTGGTAAAGATAGTATTTCTGCCTTCTTTGTCTAAAACAGTTATGATTGGTTAGATTTAACCCTGCAAGTGACTTAATTAAAAATATTCTTGGTGAAAACTAAATGCTACATCTGAATCTGCTTAGACCTGCTTAGTACTTAGAAGAGGGTTTTGTTGTTGTTGTTGTTGTTGTTGTTGTTGTTATTGATGTTTGTTTATAATGGTATTCTTTTGATAAGAAGGAAACAATTTTACTTCCCAGAATTTATATTTATTTTAATTACATGTTTGTTGATGTTGGCTTTAGAAATGTTAACCTTGAGCATGAGCTTTGCAGCCCTCAATCGTGATAGTTTTTAGGACTAAGGGTGCTTTCATTGTAGAATATATTTTTTGAAAATGTGTTGGAGTCCTTAAAGAAAATGTAAGTAAGAATCTGTTGACTTTAATGTCAAAGGAAACTTTAATGTCTATTTCTGTGTGTGTTAAATCTTGGTAAAATTAAAGATTATATACACTATTATATATTGTGGAGTGTTTTTCAACATCTTTTACCTGTCTTGTTTCATGGGCAGCTGTTAACCTTTGAATTATCATTCAGAAGTGTGAGAGTTGGTTGTTTAGACTCAACATATTTTTTCACAGGAAAAAATTATTAAGGATAGTTACATTTTTAGACCAGTGCACAATAGTGAGGTACAGTGATGAAGAGTCTAATCATTGTTTGTAAAATTGTCCTATGGGAAAATGTGTCAGAGGTTTCAAACAAGAATTAGGTTGGCTCCAGTGAGAGGTGGAGAATGGGCCTGAAAAATGGAAATATGGGCTCTATTGACTCCTGAGAAGAGGGTTCTTGGGAGAGGGGAAATAGGATAAGCAAGAAGCTTTGGTTGTGAGAACTCTTACAGGGACTGTCTCAATTAGGTCTACTGGGAATAGGGACTTCAAAGGGTATCAACCCTCAGGCAGCCATATTTTACCTGTTGCCTGGATTCTGTCAGGATCAGGGAAGAGGTATAATGATGAAGAGCCTAATCACTGTTTGTAAAATTGTCCTGTGGGAAAATGTTTCAGAGGTTTCAAGCAAGAATTAGGAGGTGTGATAGGTATTGGTCATTCCTGGACAAGGGTCATTAAGAATAGCCTGTTTTAGTAAAGTGGACTTTTCATGAGGTAGTGCCATGTACATGGTTTGTGCGTTTTGTGTTTTGGTGAGGGAGTGCTTGGTTCCTGATGGAGTTTACTATAGAGTTTTCAAATTGTATATTATATCATATCATCATATTATATTAAATTTTAATCGGTACTTATTTCTTTAGCAATACTGCTTTTGTTTAAGGAAGTTAGCTTTGAAAGTAATACAGTTCACTGCTAAAAACAGTTTGGAGCTAAAGCCACAGACTCTAAAAATTTAACTAGGATGTCAAATATATGTCATATTGGGAAAAACTGCTAGTTTTAATTAACTTCATGAGACCCTGTAGTAATAGGGGAAAGAATATGGGCTTTGGAGGCCAGTTTAATCTGGGTTCCAATCTCACCTCCAACATATACTAGCTGTGTGGCCCAATGCAAGTTACCTAACTTTTCTGAGCCTCAATTTCTTCATCTGTAAGTGGGAGAAGAACCATCTTCAAGAGTTGTTATGTAAAAACTGAATACTGAATACTGTACTGTGTTTAATTCACTTGGCAAGGTGCTTTGCACATAGTAGGCCTCCAGTTCCTTCTCTTTCCCCACAGTCATCATCATGCCCCTTGCTCTGCCCCTAAACTCTGAATTATTGTAAACTATGTTAAAACCTTGGGATTTAGGTAGCCATGGTCATAGCTCCAGCTTTCCCTTTTATGAGGTGTTCTTGGAGGAAGGAGGAATCTGATATTGCTAGGATATGTCTGTGATGTGAGAATGGGGATATAGTGTGAGATGAGGTATTCATCTAAAGGTAGGCAAGGCCCAGATTGTATGGGGCTTTTAAAGCTAATTTAAGGGTTTCCAGTGTTGTTCTGTAAATGGGAGCTACTGAAGATTTTTGAGTTCATGAATGACATGACCAGACCTATGCTGGCGATAACGGATGGCAGTGTATAGGATAGATTGGAGTTGGGGAGAGACTGAGGGTAGGGAATATTAATCAGTAGAAGTAGTAATGAGATTTTTAAACTAGGACAAAAGGGGTAAAAGGTGAAGACTGATGGGAGATACCTTGCAGACTTAAAATAGTTTGGCAACTGATTAGATGTTGGGGAGTAAGAGAAATTAGGAGTGTTGTGGTAGGACTTAATTCAATATAACAGATATTTAATGCTTGTCTGCCAATAAAAGGGTCTGTGCTAGCCACTGGACTAATATAAATAGATATTTGCAGCATAGGGAGATAGAAAGCTAAAATGACCCCCCCCACCATAGTGTCTTGAACAAGAGCAAGCCACTCTAAAGATTTCTGGTTATGCTTGGCATGCTTAAAATCTTTACTAATAATGGTGAATGCACTTACTACTAGCTAAAAAGTTTTTCAGTGCTTTTAAAATGGTGCTCAGGCCTGTAATTTTTGCTTTATCAATATTCATCTTAAATAGCAGCCCCCAGTGCAGAGGGCTGTGCTGAAAATAGTGACTGGTGCTTCTTTCTAGAATGTGGAAAAGAGAACAGGGACATCTGTATTTCTTATATACTTTCACCAGGTTTATTTGGACTAGCAAGTGGGGAGTGGCCAACAGGGCCCTGACCCCTCACCACCACTGGTGCCTTCCCAGTTTCTCCAAGACTATCTTCCTTTGAACCAGCCTGGTCTGGAAATATTCAGGTCAGTTCCTTCAGGGCAGGACCTCTATATTTCCCTACCTTGATTATTTCATCGAGAGGTAATCATTACCTCACCATTCCAAAATAAGGCCTGACTTGGTGTCGTTGCTTTCTCAGGCCATATTGTCGTTTCAGTACCACCCCTCTAAGTCTCTCTCATGTATAATTTTGAGAGGGAAGTAAAGATTTTTTCCCTTGTTATTTCTCTCTTGGTGGATGCTGTCATTATCTTTAGCAGCAGTTCTCAGGATCTGGTAAGTACTTCGAATCTTGAGGTCTTACATTTTAGTACTTTGTCAGAATTTGCTGTATAATATTTACACATTTATGATATTTCTAAAGATTATTTACTGTTCTTGATGATAGTAGTTGTTTTTCTTTGTCTATATTGTTTTATTTTGTTTGTTTTTAGGTGGGAAGGGAGTTGAATGGGAGAGAGATTTAGAGCTAAGCTT